GAAAAAAGAAACATTTAATTTCCTTCAATTTTCGATGCCCGAACTCGAGTTTTGTGTTCACAATTCAATTACAAGGCCCAGAACAGCAACAACAATGAGAGAGTTGACACCTCGCAGCCTAAACGCGGCCCTAATGATTTCTCGATTTTGATTAATGGTTTTTTCTTAGCCCAAGTCCAAGCACAGGAGTGGAAGGGAGAATCAAATTGCTCCAGCGGCACTTTGACTTTGAATATATGTACATATGTATATATCTCTTTTGGGAAAGGAATTACAAGCAGAAAATGTCTACACGGTGAGAAAATGCAACGAAGTTAAGAAAATTAAGAAAATATAAGAACAATATGTAAGAAAGATATTTTAATAAACAAAAACATGATAAACAAGAAAGGAATCAAACTTTGGAACGCCGAATATTACATTTTTTTGGCATTTGCAATTTAATTATAGAAACGAATTGGAAATATACAATAACCAAGTTAAAATATTCGCTTTCTGTATTTATCGATATTTTCCGACAAAATCGAAGTTCAAAATCCTCATAGCTAAGCCAAAAATGCATTAACTTCAATTCGGAAAGCTTTCCTATACTAGTTTTTAATAGGTTAATAAATCTGTATACCAACTTTAGAATTTTTAATTTTTTCCAATTTTGACAATTTTAACGATAAAATTTTCAAAATTCTGAAAAAATTCAATTTTTGCCAGACATACCTAGATTGACTCGTATTTTTGTGCTGATCAAGAATATATATGATTTATGGGGTCGGAAATGACTGCTTCGCGAGTTAGAAGCTTCTGACTAAAGGTCTAATACCATTTTCTGAGTCAATATTTATCAATAATTTTCAATGACAATTTTTTAGACAAATCAAAACTTAAACAATTCATAACTCAGCCAAAAAAGCATTAATTTTAATTCGGAAAGCAGTCCTATGTTAGTTTTTACAAGATTAACATATCTGCATACTCAATAAAAAATGTTAAAAATTTGACATTTTTATTAATTTTTAACCCCTTATAAAATTATGAAAATTTGGAAAAAATTAAATTTTTGCCAGACATGGCTAGTTCGATTCGGATTTTTGTGCTGATCAAGAATATATATGATTTATAGGGTCGGAAATGACTCCTTCACAGAGTTTCAACCTTCTGACTAAATTCATAATACCCTTTCAAAGGCGTATTAAAATCAAAGACGAAGACAAAGACCTGAATCACACTCAGACTTAAAGCCACTCATGAGTTCGTTCATTATCCACAAGTTCGATCCTCTCCTCGATCAACCGGGGGACACTTGATGCGTTCAGACATCTGCATAATCTACGTAATGGATTAATTTATAATTTTCCACGCTGGCTTTGGCAGAGGAGTGCCCACTGTCCACTGTCCAGTGTCCAGTGTCCAGTGTCCATGGGAGTGGTTGGTCTCCGTATTGCCATCTATGGAGCATCTTCGGCCCGAGTGGAGCATACAAATTATGGACTTAAGCGCCCAAGGGAACTCGAAAATGGGATTCGAAATGGTAATGGGTTTTGGGAGCGTGGCTCCATGCCATCTAAGTATCGATGAATGCAATTTGTTATGCGTTTAGTGGAGAAGGACGCTGATCAGGATTTACTAAGGCCGCTTTTTAATTATTTTCTCTAACTAATAGTAGTCGTAATATATTTTAGATAATAACTAGAGTTCTGCTAGATATTTATTCAACAAGTGTCTGTGGATAGCCCTTTTAAAGAGTTTCTTTTTTGTATCTGTAGCTGCAAGATGCATCTTCAGCGGCACGCTTCATTGGCTTTAATTTCGCTTTAGCTTCGTTTACGGTTTGAGTTTGGCTTTAACTTTCGGTTTTGGACAAACCTCAAACAATTTGCCGGCTGTCGGCGTGACAAGTGTTGCGAAATGCCAGCTGAAAATGCCGCACACGCAAAAGATGCACACATAGATACGCCAGAGACAGGTGGACAGACAGTGAAGCCTCCTCCTGACGCACCATTGCCACTTGGCAGCTCAAAGTCAAGTAAGTCACTACGGCGGCTTTTTATCTCTAAGCGGCTAAGCGGGTTAAAGTATCTTATAGATACGCCGCTAGATATTTGCTAAAACCTTTCCTTGGATTAAATTGTATTTTAAGAAATATTATCCACAAGCTTTTCTAGACTTCAGAGAAGATTGAGTAGCCTTCTTGGGATTAATAAATAAATATCTCTTAAATTTATGTATAATATTTCATGAAGAAGAGCATCTCCTAGTCGGCTTGTTCCGCTTTGATGCCTTTGCGGGTACTTTATTTGATTTGCGCTTTATTTGATTTAGTTGCCATTCAAAGCTGCTCGGACTTGAGCCGCCGCTGACTCGAATTGACAGCTGTTTGCCGGCACAGAGCGGGGGCCCGCGGTGGAGTTCGACTTGGAGGTGGATGTGGCCAAGAGACTACGGAGACTCTGGAGAGACTAGGGAAGCTGGAGAGGCTGGAGAGGATGGGGATGTGTGTGAAGTCGGCACAACTTCAAAGTCAATTGATTTAATTTGCTACGAAAGCGTTTGCAATTAGCGAGCGGACCGCAGCTGCTGCCTCTGTATATTTGTGTTTCGATGCTAGAGATGCTGGTATATCGATATATTATGGGAATCGAATAAATAGCAGAAAACTAAATATATATCCATTAATATACCTAACAATTATTATACTTTTTAAAAAGCAAAATACAAAATAAACCCAATAATAATATAACTTTAGTAAACTCTATATCGAAAATATCGATGATATCGAAAAAGTATGAAATATTGATGATTTAATCATTAAATATTTATATATCCATTAAAATAACAATGCTCCTATATATAATTATTGGATAATAAAAAAGACAGAAAGCTAACTTTGTGAAGACGAAATAATGCGATTATTCGTACAGGAATTTAATCATAACTAAGCCAAAAAAACATTAATTTTAATTCGAAAAGCAGTCCTGTGTTAATTTTTATCACGTTAACAAATCTGCATTCTCCATTTAAAATTTAAAAAAATTAAATTTTGATCAATTCTTGACAATTTTAACGATGTAACCCCTTAAAAAATTTTAAAATTTGAAAAAAATTGAAATTTTTTCGGAAATACCTAGATCGACTCGGCTTTTCATGCTGATCAAGAATATATATGATTTATAGTGTCGGAAATGAATCCTTTGTGAGTTAGAAGCTTCTGACTGAAATTATAATACCATTTTTTGGGCCGATATTTATCAAATTTGTATATAACAATTTTTCTAAAAACACGAAACTTCAAAATCTCATAACTAAGTTAAAAATGCATTAATTTCAATTCAAAAAGAAGCCCTATGCTAGTTTTTATTATAGGAATAAATCTGCATACTCCATTTAAAATGTTAAAAAATTTACATTTTTGATCAATTTTAACGATAACGATAACCCCTTTTAATATTTTGAAAAAATTTCCAAAAATTTGTTTTTCTTCCCACATACCCAGAAAGATGATTTAAAGGGTCGGAAACAATTCCTTCACAGAACTACAAGCTTCTGATTAAAATGAAAATACACTACAAGCTTTATATTGATGTACAAAATAGCTTGACAACTTGAATATTTTCGATACTTTTGCTATTTTCCTGCCATCCCCAGTTAAAAGTATGTGGTTTATATATCTCTATCTTTTTTTGTTATTTTGGCTGAAGTTTTTTCAATCGCTGGGCAGATCGCTGACTTGATTCTGCGCCGTAATTTGCATAATTAAGATGCCGTCCCGTGGCGACAACGATGCGATGATAAATCGCCGAAACGCCCAAGAGAGGCGAAAATGAAAATGGGAATGGGAATGGGGATGGGGATGGCAGAGACAATGACATCAGCGGCAGATGCAAAGATACATTTTGCATTCCTAATTAGCCCTAGCTTAGATAAGATACGGATACCGGACGGATTCAAATGCACTGCTAACTTGGCCAACCCTGACTAACTCTGACTTAAGTCGCTCTTGGCTGACTGGCTTTAAGCCGCCGCCGTTGCCGTTGCCGTTGCCAAGCGAAGACCGTTGACAGAACTGTCAAGTGATGCCGACGACATACGACTGTCGTCGTCTCACAATTAATTGACATTTTGACTGGCGACGATTGTCATTCAAAGGCAAAACGAGCAGCAGCAGTCCCTGGTCTCGTGATCGGACGTCGGAATGCACCAAAGCCGCCAGGATCTCTTTGCCAAGGGGTAAAGGAAAAACAAAAGCCAAAAGAGAACTCCTCTCCCAAGATTCTTTACCCAGCCAGGGCACACTAGAGGACAAGTTACTAGCTATCGATCTTACCAAGGAATGTTTATCGAGAAATAGCTATCGTAACATATCGAATTTATCGATTTATATGCTTTGAATGTTTACAGTGATTTATCGAATGTAATGCATCGAGGATCTTATATATCTCTTATTTCTTATGAACTTTTCTTGAAGTAAATCCTGATCTAAATATAAACGCCTTAAAATAATAATGTAACTATGAACCAATTAACTTATAATTTAGTTTAGAGTGAAACAATATTGTATTAAACTATTCTCTCTTCTATATATTGGGAACCAAGACTTAAGAGAAATTCTAAATCGCTGACTGGCATTGTTTTTGGTACGCTACCAAGTTAGATAATCTTTAGCAACGATCTCCGGCTGCGATCCGGGCATTCAAAGGCGCAATTGGGCTTTGTGGCAGTACAATTGGGACATGTTTGGCCGGTCGGTCTGCAGCTAGAGAGGATCCCGTCCCCCTTTATACTCGGAAAAGGGGTTCTTGGGACTGGCACTGGCTTTGGCACTGTGACAGGCCGGGCCATTGTATGGGCATTGGTTAATATATGCGCTGCCGTTCGCATCGCTGACATTTTGTCATTTCGGATTACCGAAATGAGCTGCCGTTTTGCCAACTTACAACGCGAAATTATGCCAGCTGCCTCCCATATTTATTTATACTCATCTTTACATTGTTTTCTTTTTTGTTTAGTTTTTTTAGCAGAACGAGATCAAACCCAGAAGGAAATAAGGGAGTGAGAGCAATTCACGCGAGCGCAGGCGCGCAGTTCAATTAACTTAATTGCCATGTAATTACGCGCAACAGCAGCGGCAACAATAACAATAACAGCAGCAACAAGAGCAGCAACATTAACAACAATAACAGCATCACCAACAAGCAATAACAAAAGGAACAACAACAACTCAGCCAGCTTCACCATCATCTTCAACATCCTGCCGCCACAGCAAAAAGCAGGCAAAAAGCAAAAAGAAAACGGAAAAAGCAAAAAGGCAAAACAAAAGACTTAAGGCACAAACCTGCTGCTGCTTTGACTGAGCCTCATCTCTTTCTTGAACTTCTGAAGGTATTACCTATGTACTATGCTATATATAATAAGGGAACTGCTCTATTTGGGTTTAGGAGACTAAAATAGAATAAATTCATGGACTAAATAACTAAATAACACTAATTAAGAAAGTAATATAAGAAAAAGGCAGTGTAAACCTTTGGAAACATTTGTTTATACATTTTCAAAGTAAATAAAAGTAGATTTTGTTAAGACTTTCATCTTAAGGCCTCTGATATCCCCAAGTTATCCGAATTCTAGACTTTCTTCTCGTGTTGTTTTCCACACTCTTTCTCTCTTTCTCTGTCTCTCTGTCCCTGGTTTTTCTTTGCAAAACTCCAGCATTCCAAAGATAATGCTGCTCTTGCTCCTCCTGCTCCCCCGAGCTCATCGTTCTCCTCCTCCAGCTCCTATTCCCTGGGCCTGGGTTGGCATTTGAAAAACCTTGCCGCATTTTTTGCGTGCTTTCCAGCAGCAGCAGCAGAAGATCAAGCAAAAGCAAAAGCAGCCGCTTCAACTTCAGGAATGAACTAATTGTTTTTATTTTATTCCATCTCCCTCTATCTCTGTATCTCTATCTCTCTCTGGGGTTTTAGCCTGTATATTTTTTGTTTTTATTTTTGTTGCCTGTCAAATTGTTTTCGTCAACATTGCAACTTGACGGAGCGGCGACCCATCATTATGAAGACGGATTGTGGCCAGGCCGAAAAAATTCCAACGAAAAAAGTTTATACACAGGGATAAATTGCAAGAGTATAAAAAAACACAGAAAGAAATAAGGGAAGTGTTTAAGTAAAAGATAAGTAAGAGTCACAGGCTATAGAATACACAGTAAAAACCTATATTTTTTAAATTAAATAAAATAAAACCCGAAATCCTTAATTAAACAAAAATGAATAAATAAAACAAAGAAATATTCTTGAACACCTAAATCCAACCTGGCGAAATGCACAAGTAAATGTTGCTAAGTAAGAAGGCACATGTTGCTAGAAACATGTTGAGCAGCACTTCTTGTGTAGACAAGTTTCAGCTTACAAAAGCAACTTGTTGTTGAATAACTACATTTATTCAGTTAAAATGTATATATATTTTTGTTCATATAGATTTTCTTCATTACTTAAGGAAATTTTTTAGAAATTATGAGATCTTTCTTCACATAAATGTATACTTTTTTTGTGCCGTGCACTTGAAGGCATTTGTGACTCGAGTTGAGTTATGTTCGCCATTCGCTGGACTTCAAAGTCAGTTGTCGCCGAGCAAAAAACATAGCCAGCAGTAGCGGCATTTTTTGTTATTTTTTATATATTTTTTTGCTTTTTATTTTCTTTACTTTTTTTGACATTATCAGCGTTAAGTCGTTTCAAATGCCGCCCCTGATGGATTTCTCATTGCCTGAGCACACCGGGCCATGCCGCCTTTTGCCATAATTACAATGCAAACAAAACACACAGAGGGGGGAAAGAGAGGGAGAGAGGGAGAGAGAGAGAGTTAGAGCGTTCTGCCCTCTCGCTTGCACTTGATACCGTAAGCCAGGTAGCTGGCGGCGCTTGAGTGCGATAAGAACGCTACGCTCCACACTGGGTTACCCTTACTCTTATCAGAAACGCAGAAAAGCGTCGGATTAACTCTGAACGGTGTCTTTTGGAGTTTTCCAGTGTTTCACTTTTTTGTATTTTTCATTCAATGATTTTTTTGTTTTATTTTTGAGCTGATAAAAGCACTTTAGTTATCGAAAATTGGTAAGAGGTGGTGAGGGTCTAGATATAATGACAGTGATGGGCACTTAAGCCACGGGGATTACGCGTTTCGATAGAAGGTCGATAATAATTTATTAAATTGTACTTTACACAGATATTTTTTACCTTCTTAACGCTCTATAAACATGAATTACCAACATTATAAAGTCTGCCAGGCCTCTGCTTAATTATTTAGACTTCCTTCCTGCTGGACTCTGGCCCTATTTGTGCGGTAATTTCTTTAATCAAAATGCGGCTAGATATAGATAGTGAGTGTGTGTGATATCGGATTGATATACTTTGCCCAGCCTAAGGTTAAGTCATGCGGCCTATATATGTACTATATACAGTATATAGTATATATCGCTAAGCGATAAGCCGCTGGCAATTGTCATAAAAAATACGAGTAAGTTTTACGGCATTCCTTTTCGGGCTGCCCAAAAGTATTTCTACATCATCTATCAAAGGGGACCCATTGAGAGAGGGGATACCCTTTCACACATTGCCGGGTTGCTGGGCAATCTTAATGGGTTCTGATTTTCAAAATCAAACAATTTTATTGTCGCCATCCGCTGCCTTTGCTTTATGACAGCCATCTATATGTGGCCGCGGCCTTGTCTGATGTTTTCTCTGCCCGTTTCTTTATTTATTTATTTCATTTTGTTATTTTTCTGCAGGTGGGGCTCTGCTCTGCGGCTAATGCCTTGCTCAAATATTTACAATTACTTTACATAAAATGCCGACACAAAATGCGAGGGGGGAAATAATGGCAACAAGAAGGGAAACTAAACTTTGGGAAGTCACAGGAATTGCTTATCGTTTGCAGATTGCAATTTAATTCTAGGATCAAACCGGAAGTCAATCATAACTAAATATGATTAAATATATAAAATATTCACAAAGGGATATTTTTCTATGAGCAAATTAAAGTTTTAAAAACTCACAACTAAGTCAAAAAAGCACTAATTTCAATTCGGAAAGCAGTCCTATGTTAGTTTTTATTAGGGTAATAAATCTGCATACTCCATTTTAAATGTTTAGAAATTTACATTTTTATCGATTTTAACACCTTATAAAATTTTCAAAAATGGTGAAAATTATAAAAAATTAAAATTTTTCCAGGACATAGCCAGTTCGACTCGGCTGTTGATGCTGATCAAGAATATATATGATTTATAGGGTCAGAAATGACTCCTTCATGAGTTACAAGCTTCTGACTTAAATTATAGTACCATTTTTTGATCGATATTTATTAATAATTTTTATATTAACATTAAAAAAATCAAAATTAAAAAACTCATAACTAAGTTAAAAAATCATTAATTTTAATTCGGAAAACGGTGTCATGCTAGTTTAAATTGCGTTAACAAATCTGCATACTCAGTTTAAAATATAAAAAAATTTAAATTTTTTATCTATTTTTGACATTTTTAACTTATAAAATTTAGAAAAAATTTCCAAAAATTTGTTTCTTTATTTTATGCCTAGATAGATTCGCCTGTTGATGCTGATCAAGAATGTATATGATTTATAGGGTCGGAAATGACTCCTTCATGAGTTACAAGCTTCTGATTAAAATTATAAGACCCTCTGTAAGGGGATAAAAATGCTTAATGCCATGGGAAGTAAACTAAAATATTTTTGCTCATGTAAAAGTTAGATAATTAAGACTCTTAAATTTTAAGGTATTTTTAATGTAGGCTTTAAAACGAGCCCCTAAAATAATTTGTTTTCTACACAGAATATAGAGTTTTTAGTTCAAATTTTCTTGAATGATTTCTCTAGTTTTGTTTTTCTGTTTTGATGTTGGGTCTGTTTGGGTCTTTGTTGACTTTGTTGACGGCATTTAACTACGAATATTTTTTCTTTATCTGAAGGCACTGAGATACGAAGAGCACACATACGCACTGTGGAAATATTATATTTTCTGGTGACATGTCCAAGATCGGTCTGGTAAGTGAGTACATGTCAGTTTATCGGTTTGTGTGTTGATTTTCCTATTTTTTGTGTTTGTTTGTTTGTTTGTCTGTTTGTTGGTTTGTTTGTTTTTGTTTTCCGAGTGGGCGTTGCGATCAAGTGCCGACAAAGTGCTCGTCAAGCGACAATTACAAGCAAATTAATTGAAAGTGCGCCCCCTCCCCACGGGAAGATAGATAACCATCTCAGGGAAAACTGGCAATGTATCGAAATGTAATAATAACTAAATACTAGAAACCCAAAAAATAATATTTCCTTCAAAAGTATATATTCTAACATCACAAAGGTACCCCCAAATTTAAAGCAAAAACAATAATCTTGAATACATAAATTTTTCTGATCCCCAGATACATGCATCACGAGCACCTTTTGGCTGGAAATTACGTTTAGACCTGGCTAATACTACTACTTCCCACATTAAAGTAAACTTCCCTTCCGTTTGATGTGAAATCGAGAGAGAGAGAGGAGCAAGATTATGTAAATACCATGTCCATGTGCATTTTTATAGCCGCCTGATGTGGAATCTTATTTGAATTTGATCTCTTTTGATTCTCTGTATAGTTTTTGAGCTGTTTAGCTATCTGATTTTTTCAATTTTCTTTGATCTGCGCCAACGTGCTTCCGATTCGATTTGTTTGTTCGGTTCGATTCGGTTTGGTCTGCTTTCGTTTTTATTGCCACTTGAGGCTGCTGCTGCTGCTGCCGCCTTTGTCTTTCAACGAAAGAAAAATCGAGAGAAGATCGGACAATGCATTTTATTTTCTTTCTGGAGATAAAAAGAAAATACAAAGTAGGCGGCAACGCGCTCGGCAAACGCCCCACAAAAAGAAAATACAAAAACTAAATGGAGAGAAAAAGGTGAGATGCAGCCAGATCTATGGTCAGTATCTGCTGCATCTTTTTCTGTCAGTGTTGCCCAAGTCTTCACAGAAAGTTTGTGAATAAAACTTGGCAAAATATGTTCAATTTGTTAATGAAAATATCAAATACTTTAGACATTTGTAGTACAAAATAATTGATAAATAATTATATGCCTTGATATGCCTTCTTGTTGTATTTCTTCTACTTTCCTGGCTAAATACCTTTGTTTTTCATAATTTATAATTAATTTAATGAATATTTTATATATAAAATCTATCTAACTGATCTGCAGCATCTCTGGTGTCTGCACTTAGCATCTGACTTCGACATGGATTTGGACATTGAAAAGGAAAAACAAAAGCGGCATCGACATTTGCCTTTTTCATCCCAAAAGCGGGCATGGACCTGGGTCTGGGTCTGGGTCTGGGCATGGAAATGCCCGATGCTCAAAGAGCTCAAAGAAGACCGAAGTCGGAGGAAAGGTGTTAATGGACTCGACTGTGCACACACACGCACGCACAGCTTCTATCTTGAGCTAGGCCCAAAAAAAATTCAAAGCCGAAACTGATGCGTTGTGTGTACAGTGAGCGAAATAAGGGTGTTGTCTATTTTTATATATTTGACAACTTTTTGTAATATTTCAATCGTTATTCTATTCAGCATTTAAAGTTCTTTTGTAAATAGAAATTATTGTATATATTTATTAATATTTAATAAAAATATTAGGAGAAATCCCTGTGCAGCTTTTAATTTAATAATAGTTGTGTCAAAGGTAAGAGTTAAATAATTTATATATATTAAATTACGAGCTAATTTTCTTTTTAAAAATGTTAAATAAGTATAAAAATAATATTTAATGAAGAAAATAATCTCCTGTGAAAATGTTTTTCTAATTGATATTTCTTTTAAATTTGTTTATTACTCAAATTCATTGAATTTTCTCGCAGTGCTTAGCACATTTCCCTCACAGCGGCATCTCTTTCTTGTCGCCCATTTATTCCTTTCTCCCAGTGTCGTTTGCCGGCACAGGTTTCCCCCCATGACCGATCCCCGGATCCAACTAACTCCTTGGTCTTGGTCTTGGTCTTTTGTGGCTCTTTTGAGCTCTCCACTAAATGGCCAGTCCATTCTGTTCTCTTCACGCACTCTGGCGGCTACTCAGCGATTTTCATGGGCCATTTTCACGGTACATTATGGATGAAAGAGGGAGATGACCTCAAATAGTTGAGATCCTATGTCTCTACTAAGCCGCAACATATTTGGGGAATTAAGTAAAGTAAAGCCATATTCTCAACGAAATTTGGTTACTTTTTGTTGCCATAAAAGGTGCTACAGAGAGACCTAATCTTTAGTTATGATTCAGAGGGTTTTTGTTTATATCACAAAGATGTATACCAATATTTAAACCTTGTTTATGAAGTAATTTTTAGAGTCAAATATATGCTGATTAGCTTCTCCATTAGGCGAGTGCCTTTCCCCTAATTGAAAAGCAATTAAATGTCACTTCTTTTGACTTTGTTTCTGTTTTTTTTTAGACTGATAACACACCAATGCATTTGTATTTGTCCCTAAGTGTTGTTTCCACTTTTATCTAGATAGAACCATGAGTGGAGGGAACCTTCCTCCAGCTCGGTCTTCTTTTTCTTTGCCGCCTTCTTCTCTTGTTCCCCCGAGAGCGTTGCTAATGGAAATGAAAAACCCGATAGGCACCGAAAAAAAAGAAGAAAACACAATCAAAACAGCGGGAGGCACACACAAAGTGAGTAAGGGCTTCGATAAAAGCAAAATACCATAGGAATAGGAACTGGAACCTCTGCCAGAGCTCTCAAATCGCCAGCTTACAAATGCAAACCATATTTCATAAATAACACACACCAATTTCCATAATGCTCTGATTTCGAAAGCGACGAAAGCAGCCCGACCATGATTAGATTAAAGCTGGTTAAATATTTCAAATATACAAAATGGTATTGGTATAGAGAATCGTTAATATCTAGGAGCTTCAGAAGGCATTGCTTTTGGAGGTCCATAAATAAACCCTGAAGAGTTTTTTGTAATATATTACTAATAATAAGAAAGGAAACACGCCGAAGTTTATATACCCTTGCAGATAGAACTGTGATGCCTAGGAATTAATACAATATAAATTATATCAATTTATGTTAAAAAACAATAAAGTTATGCCTGTTTTCAATTCAGTCACATATACATTTAATATTTATTTACAATTTTACATTCACATTCTATATCTAATGATCATCATTTGAATGGCACCTATATGATATAGTCGTCCGATTTTCATATTATATCCGACTATATCATATAGCTGCCATAGGAACGATCATTAAATGTAGAGGAAAATGACAAAACTGTGCCTCATTTAGTTCTCTGGCTCACTCTCCCTCTTCCTCTCCCCCTCCCCCTCTCTCGTACTCGCTCACTCTCCCTCTCAAACATTTCCGGCATATCCATCTCCCTCTCTGTGCATCTCTGGAGAAACCCCTTTCTCTCCATCTGCCTCTGCCTAGCTCTGGAGTTCTCCATTTCTCTCCCGCTCTCACGTTCTCTGCTCTCTCCACTCGGAGCCTATAAATAGCGGGCTCTGCCGCCTTGCGCACCTCAGTCTGTTCGTGGCGTCTCCAGTGTTTACATCTAGAGTGGCAGTGATAGTGATGGCTCTTCGACCCCGAAAAATATGACGTGGCCTATGCAAATCATTTAAATGACAAAGCCAAGTCTTGTAAAATTGTAAACTTGTTAATAATATTAAATATTATTAATATTTAGAATATTATTAATATATATTAATATTAAGGCCCCATATGCTGGCATCATAATGAGAACGTGAAATGCTTTCCAAGTTAAAACTAAAGAATCTTGGGCTAAGTTATGATCAATTTCATTTTCGAACCTATGTTCATATGAGTATTTGCAAGAGTGTACACACTTTGACTTATCAAAGATAGCTTTCTTACTTGTTTTTATTACTTTGACTTCTCAAAGATAGCTTTCTTACTTGTTTTTATTACTTTGACATATAAAAAATAATTTCTAGATGGCTTTCATTATATTTCTTAATATTTTTAACTAATATTTACTAGTTCTTTGGTTTCACTGGAAGGCCGGAAGCGGCCCCTCTGATGAGCTGTTTTCCCTCAAAAAAAGATCCCCTTTTGAGACCCCCCTCAAAACTCTTGAAATTTCGTACATTTCGCCAGAGTTTGTGACTCTCCAACTATATTCTTATTTTGGCTTTTCTGTCCTAATTTTTGCCCTCATTGCAATGCTCTTCAAAATGGGTATTTAAATTCAAAGAAATCTATAAATACAACTAATTTAGGACAACAAATTCTTACTTTATGATTTTAATAATTTATTATAGCGTTGAAGGGTATATCAATTTTAATCGAAAGCTTGAAACTCTGTGAAGGAGTTTTTTCAGACCCAATAAATCATATATATTTGTGATCCTATACTTCATTTGCAATCTGCAAGAGTATATAAACTTAGTTTCCTTTCATGTTAAATTCAAAATAAAATAAAATATATATTGAAATTTCATCAAAAATCCAGTTTAAACTATGAGAAAATGCTCTGAGCCAAAATAAATCAGTGTATATCCAGCTCATCTACTTAGTCAACTTGGTTTTTCTTTCATGTTTTGGTTTTTATATATTTAGTTGCTGATGTTTCCCCCTATTTTTTATGGCTTTGTTTTACTTATTTTTATTTCGTTTCTTTTTTTTGCATGTAAGCGACGAGAAGTATTTTTATGGGCCACACAAAGCGAAGCTTATCAAGAACACGAATCGCGGCCCGGAGACGTGCCAGCTTTTGGCTTAGTTTTTTGGGTTTGTTATGTGGCTTAGTGGCTAGTGGCTAGTGGCTAGTGGATATAGAGAGTGTTGCTCGCTTACCTGCAGCTCAGCCTCCAGCTGATTGGTGTGACCCGCCAGGTTGGGCAACGCGGTCATGTTGTAGCCGAGACCTTGGCAGGCGGAAACGCTGATCCGCTGGCACTGTAATCCATTCGAGCCGCCTGCCGCTTGATGGCCATTCAGGCCGAGATTGCTTCCACAGCTAATGCTGGCCAGGCACAGAATCAGGATCAGGATCAGCAGCATATTGGAGCTTGGATCGAAGATCTGACAGGGTAAGTGTTCAATCAGACGGGGTTCATCTTGGGGGTTCCTTTTAATATTTTCAATATTCACTCTCTTTTTCTATATCACTCGCGAGCACGTAAAAAAATAGTATATATCTTTTCTGTATAGTTTCTTCCAATATTTTTGGTACTGCGAAAATTACGCGTTTTCGTTTTATTAGTTTGATTTGATTTCGATTCTCGCAAAAACGCGCACAGAGAGTCACCGTCGTCGCCCGCTCTTTCGGTGTTTTTCGAAGCAACTGCCGGCAACCGGTCTCCGGTTGTTGGGTTTTCTTCGCTTCCAAAGCAACGAACATGCTCGATGCAACTGGTACACTGAAAAGAATGGAAAGCTTTGTAGTAACATTTGGAAAAGATAAGTATAATAAGATAAAAAGCTAACATTATTTACATACTCTGAATATTACTTACATTATTTATAAATTTCCTCTCTTTTAAGCTTAAATTTTATACATTTCACTTTCCTCCCTTTTTTCTGACAGTGCTTGCAACATGTTTGAGCACAGGTCTTCCTGAGGTCTGTAAAAATAAATTCAACGTTTTAATGCCCATCAAAACATATCCTCAACAGGGCAAGTCTTCACGTACTCACATTTTGATCTCTCGTCTTGAAGTCCAGAAATGTGATATATGACCTTTTCGCAGGTTCAGGGTTCTACAAAAGGAAGAAAGACCACGTGTTAGATTTGTAAACTTTGTAGTCTAAAGAGGGAAAGTGATCTGTCAATTACATTATTGTCTTAATGCCAGTGTCATAACCTGACAGCTATGCGTACTCCCTTTCCTTAAGATAAATCAGTGGCCGCTGGCTGAGATAACCTTTTCCTTTGAGCCATGACTGCCATCCAACCAGGTGGTGCTCAGCGATGATCATCGGTTCGGTGTGTGTGCGGGTTCTGGAGAGCACTGAAAATAAGAAAGGTATTTTAATTAATTTGGTTACACAAATAATAAATCGAACAAATAACGTATTACACATTTATCCTTCTAATATTATTAATATTGATTCCATTGCTATTAAAACTTACTTTAGACACACTCTTTCTCCTAGTGTAGCCTGTGGAAATTCGATCGGCAACGGCGACCAACCGCAACAGCCGACAGGCAACATCAAACAAAACTGAACGGCGGCCAGGGGTGGTGCTGGCTTTCTCTCTCTGTGTGTGTGTTTGGAGGAGAGTTGGGGCAGGTGCTAGGGAGGAGGAGGAGGCAGCGGATGAGGTGGTGGCTGCAATTGAACACCGCGACCTCCACAACGCTGCAACGCTGCAGCAGCGACTGCAACTGCAACTACAACTGCGACTGCGACCACGGCGGCGTCGGTGTCGGCGATCTTTGATGTGTGCTTTGATTTCCGGCAGCCAGATAAGATTTTTTTCCTCCAGCTCCTCATTCTCCTACTCCTCCAGACCTCCTCTCTGGCTGCTGCTGCTGCTCCTTCTCAAGATCAAGACGAATCGCTGCAAAATTCGTTATGGATCTAAGTTGGAGTAGGAGGAGACGGACCCAGCGAAATGGCATTAGTTTTGCGAGGGGTAAACACCTGTAGGCCTTCCTGTTTTAAAGTCACTGGATAAAGGGAAATAGTTAGATACAAATACAAGTTAATGATAGTATTACATTCATATTTACCTATTTAAATGAAGCTATTTTCCAATCTTCATAAGCTGCCATGGTTAGATTGTAATTATGACATATTTCAGAACCTTTTCTCACCCTGTATGCCTTTTTCTTAGAGCCCTTACTCTCAGGTTTCATAACAAAAAGACTCAATTGGCGGAAATTCGGGGCGCACTTCCTCCATCTACCGATCTCCAGAGATCACTCTCTTCCATCTCCTCTTCCCAAATCCATAATCCGCAATGTAAGCACTAGAAACGAGATCTCTTCTCGTTTCTAGAGGGATGAATGCCGGCCGAATTGTTTGTTTTTGTTGATTCTCGGGATCTGCCAGTTGTTTGAACTTGGGATGCGCACGTAAAAATATCATCAAAGAGATCGATCTGGAATGAGCAACAACAAAAAGAGAATATAATAATAATAATAAAATAATAGCTAATGTAAGCACTTACACTTGGGCCTTCATCTTTTGTCTGTGTTTGTTTGTTTATTTACCCAATAATATTCCCGGGGCTTTATTTTCTTTACTTGCTGCCTCCAGTTAAGTGTTCCTCCCGGATGACACACGTACGTAAGCAAAGATCACTTAGGTTTGGCAGGAGATTAGTCCAATTTGTGGTAATCCGTTGGTGCTGCTTCCAAATCTAAGATATCTCCCTTCCCGGATATGGATAAGAAGGAACTACGAAAGATCTGAAAGATCTCTGAAAAGGTACTCATAGATAACCGTTGTCTGTCACTTGAAAAAGATTAAGGAAATGCGATTAACGAGGGCAGATTGTTAATAGATTGTTCTCCAGGGTAAGTTATTAAATAATGTATTATGAGAGCTTAAACAGCTTATTATTTGTTAGTTTTTCATAGCACTTTATGTGCTCTTTTCATTTAGGTTTATATTTTAATTACTCTTTATGAAGAAAGATTAAGATTACTCCTTTATTTTCTTTTGGCAAAATACCAGTAAATGTCAGGGAAAACCCATGTCTCTCAAATTGCTGACTTCCAGTGACACTTGGTTCCATTTTCCTGGCTTCAAAGGCAGCCGGCCGCGGCTTGAAGAGGATTTGCTCAGCCGTTAAGAGCTGGCAACATGGGCAAAACAATTATATTTTCCACGACGCCTCTTGTTTGCCATTTTCCATTTACCATTTACTATTTTCCATTTTGCCATTTGCTTTTCCCAACGATCACGAGTTGACATTGATTTGTGTGAGCTTCTCCTCTAAAATATACATTTAGTTTATAGATATTTTAGGCTTTTAAGTTAATAATGCTTAATATTTACTTGGTACAAAATTCCCCTTACATTTCATTCTTCGAGTACCATTTCTCAGGCCTCTCTGGGCCACCCACATTTTGTATCTGAGAGATACAACTCTTTCAATGCTCGCTTGGCATTAAGATGTGTAGCGCGTGTGTGTGTGTGTGCTCTGTAGTGTACCATTAACTAGTTTTCTGGTCGGCCGAGTTCAAACGCGCTTATTAATCTCTGGTACTTGTGTTTAGTACTTTTAAATACGTTTTGAGTACTTTATTCAGTATGCTTGATGTTTTGCCGCCGCTCCAAGTCACGATGTTTGCTCTGCTCAGCTCTCAGCTCTTAGTTCTCCCCCTTTTATCGTTTCTCCATGTCTCCATGTCTCGGTTTCTCCATTTCCCTGTTTCCCTGTTTCCCTGTATCTCTGTATCTTTGTTTTTTTGCTCTTGCGAATTGGACGCGCGTCAATATTTATTTTATTTATCTTCTTGGCCCCCGCTCTCAGCTCACGGATCTTTCAGCCAGGAAAGGGAAGGTTACACCGACAAAAAAATATGATTTTTCAAGGGAAACAAATATTTGCAAAATAATCCTCAAACACAGAAGTTTCCCCAACTAAAAGTGATGGGAAATTCATGAAAAATTCCTTAAAAATAACTTAAGATGTAGTTTTTTCTACATTTTTCTCTCTGCAAAAGGAAAATATAGTCAGAGAGCTGAGGCAAAGACCTGGGTCAGTGGATTTGTACACCCTCGAAACTGGCGCCCGCCAGCAATGCAATACACACCGCGTCCGCCAGGCCGGCTCCCCACCGATCCCGGAATCCCTCTGCCTCCTCCTCCTCCTTCTGGCCAAAACTCTTTTCTTTGGCTTTCATGTTATCTCCTCCTCTGTCCCCTTCTGGGTGCTTCTTTTGTAGAAGCCATAGAAATAATGCGATAATTACAATGCCGAGAATCACTCCTCGCCCCAGGAGGAGCCAGCTTGGGGGAGTTGGAGAGCTGGGGGACACCGTGTGAAAGCCATCTAAAGTTACTCCCCCGGGACAAGGCCGGGATTATCCTACAGCTACTTCAGTTACTCTCCACGCCATGGCCACATAAATCTTCCTGGACAGGCAAAAGTCTGATGGATAGATGGATGGATAGCCGACTGTGCGGTCTTAACTAAATACAATACAACCAAGAACTTTGTGTTTCGAACAAAGTCCATACTTGGGACTTCAATTTAAGAGTTTTGGTTAATTTTTTGTTATGTTCCCTATTAAATTTAGTTGTTACTTTGTATATATTCATGAGGTATCAATACCTCATCTAATTATTCCCTATTTAGTTTCATATTTTATCTTTTAAATCTTGCTAATTCTAAAGTCTATTTATATAAAGCTGTTAGCTGAATAAAATTTAAATGTGTCTATACTTTTACATACTTTTTAAAGGAAGAACTTAAATAATACCTAATTTAAGCATGACAAGAAAGAAGATTAACTTTGGGAATCTCAAATTTTTAAACCATTGCAGTTTGCAATTGGATTTAAGGATTGAATTCGAAATCGATCATAACTAAGCTTAAAAATATTCGCATTCTTAAAAATCTGCGGTTTTATAGTATATAAATAAGCTCTTCTGCGCACTACAATGTATTCTCAATTATGTTCCCAATTACTGATGTTTTTTTACTGAATATAATTACCCCAATATAAAGCCTCGACACGGTTATTTGATAGGCCTAATTAAAGGAGTTATATGCAATAAATGCCAGGAAAACAAGCCTGGGAGAGTCCTGGTGGAAACCGATCCGCAGAGTAAAGCCTGGCCTGGCGCTTATTCAGGTACGACACAGTCGAGACCCAAAACAACAATAAAATCCTGCCGGCAGACAATAAAACCCTAAAAAAATACAGAAAAATGTGAAGAAAACAAAAAACAACAAAAACTTGGGATATAAAAATGATAAAAGCCCGCGAATATGAGTTCCCTTGAGCTGCTTCTAAACCAAAAAATACAAAAGGAATTAAAACAAGAAAGAAAACCAACTTCTGGAGCCCGATGTTTAGATACTCTTGCAGTTTGCAATTGAATTATAGGATTGAATCGGAAATAGATCATAATTAAGCATAAAATATTCGATTTTTTTTATCAATATTTATTATTATTTTTATTTAACAAATCACAGTTTAAAAAACTCATAGCTAAGCCAGAAATGCAAAAATTTCAATTCGGAAAACTGTGATGTATTAGTTTTTCTTAGGTTAAGAAATCTGCATACTCCAATAAAATTTAAAAAAATTTGACATTTTTATCAATTTTTGAACATTTTACCGATATAACCCCTTGAAAAATTTAAAAAAAAATTCGTAAAAAATGTTTTCGTCCAGAGAAAGCTAAATCGATTCGCCTGTTGATGCTGATTAAGAATATATATGAATTATAGGGTCGGAAATGAATCCTTCATAGGATTATAAGCTTCTAACTGAAATGAAAATACCTTAAAAGGGTATAAGTAAATATATATGTATATATATATATACAGATATGTAATTTGCCATATCCTGGCACAGGCAACTACTAGACATACGACCGGGGACCATCCCATACCATCCCATCCCATCCTTTCGTCGTCGTCGGCGGAGATGAAAGTGCCGCTGGGGTGCTAATAAAGTTGCCCGCAGACAAATAAAGAACTTCGATCCACAGCACCGCCGATCTCTGGTGGTGTAGGTGCTAATTCAGCCCCCCAAAAGACCCCACACACACACGCACACACTCTGGTGGAGACGATGCGGCATTTTCATTTCCATTTCGATTTCCATTTTCAACAGAAATGAACTCACGATAAGAGAGACTAAATGTCAAAATTATCAACGCACACGGTGACCAATTAACCCATGATTGACCTCCAATATGGAAAGTACCAACA